TTCCGACTTAGCGTCGTTGCCTACGCGTTAACAGATGTTCTTCCGACTGCGCGTCGATGCTTTTCGAGAAAGTTTTCAGAAAGTTTTTTCTTCACTCACACGCTTTCTGAGAAACTTCCCAGAAGGTCACCCATCCAAATACTACTCTAAGTCAAGCACACTTAACTATGGAGTTCTTAATTGTTAGACAATAAATAAGAAAATGCATCTTGTTGGTATAGTTAGTAACAATCAATCCTTATAATCCTTCCTTCAACCATGCAGTCCCATCCATGCACATCTTTAGGATCCCTCTCATTTCGATGTGAATTCAACGACCACTCTCTTCCCTCTTCGTCCTCGAGTGTTACATTCACTTTCCGCCATCTTCGGCCTTGGGTGTTACATCCTCGTCATGATTTATAAAATACTCATCAACCATCTTTATCGTTGTTCTATTACATACATCGTTTGAACATAATAAAGTACTTGACTTCTCATCTAAGATTCATAGTGGTTTCAGGTTGAAGGGTGGTGGTATACACCACCATCACCATGATAATAACTTATGACACTTGCATTAAAATTATATGTAGTATTCTCATGGCGAATCTATCTTATATAAATCTTACTCCTAATGTTTATCCCTATGTGAATACTTGATAACTCTTTATCTATGATATGTCAGATGTGATCATCATTGTATCACTATAATAGTCTCAATGCTTTAATGTTATCCCATTTCATAATAAAACTTGGTTATAGATAATTTTATAATAGCCTTATGTTTAATGAGGGTGTCTTGATTAAGTCAGACTTCTTATTTCATCAAACGAACTAAATATTATAGAGACTTTAATACTTTGGAAAAATAAATATGATAAACAAATGTCTTATTATTAATAGATAATTTGATACAAGTACTAAGTTCTAATAAGACTGCCGACCTCTAAGACTTACACCGACAATCTTCCACTAGCACTAGAACCAATCACGCATACATCTAATACCCATAAATCTAGTTTGCCATCATACTTTTGCATCGCAATAGGTTTTGTCAGTGGGTTAGCGACATTGTCACATATTAGTACTCTTCACAACTCCTCTAGCAATTTTTCTTTGGTTATCCTTCTATTGTTTAGACTCTTATTAACTTTTTTATTTGGACCTTGATCTTTGACCTTTCTCCTTTCATCCTTTTTTTCCTTTCAAAATTCCAAGATTTTATGTGTTCAATATCTTTTTCCTTTTCAAATTTACATCATTTTTCTCTCTTTTACTTCTTCTCTCTTCTACTTTCTTTCTTTTATTATTTTCTTGATTTTTCTTATAACTCAAATATACTTAAGATAAAAACAAAGGAAATACAAAATTTTATTGGACTCAAATCATAACTAATCAAACGAAAAAATAAATCCAAAAAGGTATATAAACAATTCAAATACAACAAAAGTGGTCTAAAAGAAACTAAAACAAACACACACACACATAACAGACAATGCCTAACAAACCAACGTATGAATGCAAAACTAAATAGTAAAAAAAGTTGTGTGTGAGCCTTCACTTCTCAAGACAATGAATGAAACAACTATCAATATAGAATGATTTAAAAACCAACAATCCTTGGAATAAAATACACTAAGCAAGCAAAATATTTTGTCTTGCTTACTGTAAAAAGAGTCAACTCCTCATTAAGTCGGCGTCAGTGAGAAAGAGGCAAACCTTAAATATTGAATCTAATAAATCTAAACATATCTGAAGACAACCAGATTATCAAAATATATGAACACTACCATCATTTAAGAGAGTTGTCGAAGAAAACAATAAAATTACCACAACTCTCGGAGATGATGAACCAACTCCTCCACCCAAGTGAGCACTGAATCATTGTTAAGTGAGACCACAAACACGAAATAGTAAAAAACCAAACAAAATCATGTTGAAATAAATCACCATTGTATACGAATCGTTTGCCACCTACATGGTAAAGAAGAACCCATCGAAAGGGGTTTGATGATGATGCGGCCAAAATGACCGATCACACCACCACAAATCTAAAGTTACATGAAGGAATCTGGTTTGGATTTGAGGAGGAAGAATAAAACACTTTTAGAGAGAAGGAATCTCAACTTCTTTCTATTTTCTTGATTATTGTGTTGGAAGAGATTGAATAATTTGAATGTGTTATTATATATGTAGCACTGACACCTCTAAAATAATGTGTGTCAGTGTCGGTGTTAGTATCCAAACTGATACTTATACTTATTATTACATTTAATTAATTAATTAAAACTACTATTAATGTTTACGTGTCAGTATCGGTGTCGTGTTTCTGGTATCCATGCTTCATGTTGGGTTGGGTTAAAAATATATATGTTGAAGAAGTCACACATCGCTTAGTTTTGTGAATGAAGAAAGAGTTCAAGGCTATATATAATATACAATTTATTTGAAGTCCCACATAGCTTAGTTTTGTGAAGGAAGTGGGAGTCCATTGTTATATATAGGATTCAAAGTTTTCATTCTAAGTTGTACCAGTCAAAAACACTTTAAGCTTGTATTTGACTTTATTTGTTCTCTTATGCTCTTGTACTAGAGTGTTGTGAGATATAGTTAAATATTTATTTTGGAGGGTGTGAGTGTACTGGGGGCCTAGGTTTGTAAGGGTATATTATGTGTTGTAACAATTTTCACATAGTGTTATTCTCTGGCTGTCTATTGACAACGGTCGTGGTTTTTTCTCCGGTTTTGGAGTTTTCATGTTATGTTATTGTGTTCTTCTTTTTTCTCTATACTATGTTTTTTTTCTAACAACTGGTATTAGAGCTCCTGGTTAGATCCAGGGATAAGTGTTCCTAGTAATGCTCTGTGGTTGCAGTTTTGTCTAATCTTCCATATCAAAAAAGAAGGGTAGTGTTGTGAAAGAGTTGTTAAGCTACATTCACAAATTCCGCTGTGCAGTTTGGGCTAGAGAAAACTGATGGAAGAATTTTTTTTTGACTTGTGGAAATTTTAAGTCAAAGATGCGTTGATACAATCAAGATTACACAAGGTGCAAGATTATGTCCATGGTTGAAGAGCTTCCTGCCAACAAGGAAGTTGCACCATAAAGTTTCAACCTGGTTTTCGGCATGGGGAAATTCTTGAAGTGGTTTATCTTCAAGTGAAATATACTCTTCTTTAGATGGAGTATGATAGTTTTTTAAAACTATGATTGTCGGTTAAGACAGTGTAAAATTCTCGCAGTGGTTTACCTTCAAGTAAATTTTATTCTTCATCATAAAGGATATGATTGTCGGTGATGACAGTGTGAAATTCTTGACGTGGTTTATCTTCAAGTCAAATATATTTTTCATGAGATAGTATGATAGTTTTTAAAATTATGATTGTCGGTGAAGACAATGTGAAAATTTTTAGAGTGGAGTAGCTTTAAGTGACTATGCTTTTTATGGTGGAGTATGATTGTCGATGAAGACAATGAAAGTTTATGTATTATATTCAATTAAGGTGGAGATTAGTTTTGTGAATGAAGAGAGAGTTCAAAGCTATATATAATATACAAGTCATTTGAAATCTCACATCGCTTAGTTTTGTGAAGAAAATGAGAGTCTAATGTTATATATAGGATTCAAGTTTTTCATTCTAAGTTGTACCGGTCAAAAGTAATTTAAGGTTGTATTTGACTTTATTTGTTCTCTTATGCTCTTGTACTAGAGTGTTATGAGATGTAGTTAAATATTTTTTTTAGGGTGTCGGTAAGGCTGGAAATGAGTCGAGTCGAGTCGAACTCACCTCAGCTCGGCTCGACTCGTTAAGAATTGTTCGAATTCGAGTTCGAGTTCGAGTTAGACACGAACTTTTTTTTAAGCTCAAACTCGACTCGTTATAAGTTCACGAACAGTTCGGTTCGACTCGTTAGGTTCATCTCATTAGGTTCAGCTCACATGGTTCACGAACTTAAAAATTATTTTTTTAAATATATATATTTTTTAGTATATTTGACATTTTAAATAAATATATATATTTTAAATAAAATATTAAAATAAAATAAAATTTATCATATTGAAATTTAACTTTAACTTCGAAATCTACTAATTCAAAACCTACACAACTTTCAAGAGATACATTTGAGAGTCTAATTCAAAAACTACTAAATTGAAGATTAAATTTGTCTAAGATTTGAAGTAAATATTTAAACCTAATCTTAAAGACAGTATAATTCTTTTCATATGTAATCGAGTTAACTCATGAACCTAACGAGTCGAACTATGTATAGTTCAAGTTCAGCTCATTTAGTTAACGAACTTAATTTTTCGCTCATACTCAACTCATTTGGTTCATGAACCTAGTTCAACGATTTAATTGTCGAGTCGAATTCCGAACTATCTTCGAGTTGGTTTGGTTCATTGCCAGCCCTAGGTGTCGGTGTACTGGAGGTCTGGGTTTGTGAGAGTATATTATGTGTTGTAACAATTTTCACATATTTTTATTCTCGGGTTGTCTATTGACAACAGTCGTGGTTTTCTCTCTGATATAGTTTGTGTTTTTGTTATTAGCCAAGAGATATGAGAATGTTAAAGGTAAGAATTTTTTTGAAAAGGTCAAACTCACTCTACTAGTAATAAATTATTGCATTTTTGTTAATTGAAATTCGAAGGTATTCCAATTTTATTTTATAACAAAAAAATAAATCATATAAGAGTATTTTCTTAATCCATCTTTTCTATATTAATATAATAAAAATTACACATAAATAATAGTTAAGTCACTACGCCTTTTTTTTATGACAAAAGAAATTCTCTTAAATAGTATTGATATAAGAGTACTGAAATTGTACTTCGAAAAATAATAAACTTCATTTATTATAACAAACAGATGAAATTAAAATTGAGAAAAAAACAAACTACTTTTCTACTGGAGGTTCGGAAAATCACCAATGTGGAGAATTGAACTATAATCTTCTCTATTAAATTCAACGTCAATCACCACTTAATCAACTAATGATAGATAAATAAACTACTTTATACAGTAGGTAGGTTGTTAAGCCATCCATCTGAATTTATGAAAGATGAGTAAGTATATTCATCTTTTTTGATGTCCTCTGGTTTCTTCACCCAATCAACACGATCCTTAGTATCAGCTCCTGGTCCCTTACAATTAATTTCTGCAAATGTGAGGTCTTTTCTGCATAAAATCATAGGCAAAACGAGAGAAAGTTGCATCAACATTTTTAAGAACCCTACTACAAAAACTTACAAAGACAAACGATTTTAAACTTACACATGGCTTCCTTTATCCCAAGGGTCCCATCCTCTAGGAATTACTACTGGTGAAAAATATGTGTCCCAATATATGACTCTCGAGTAAAAACCCCATGGTCTTCCTAGATTCACTTGACCATTTCCAACAATAGAACATCCTCTAAACACAAACCCTTCTTTTCCATCTGGTGAGTTTCGCATTTGTGCTGTCACAAAACCAGGAGGCATGTTTTGCCCTTGTGTCGCATTCATCACACAATTCTACAATAAGTGAAAAAGATTAACGGCATGATTATGTAATTGTAGAAAATAATATCTGATATATTTGTGTAGAGGACTTTCAATTTAATTCAGAATCAAACCAAATAAAATTATTGATTTGATATAGTAGTTCGAATTTCTAAACCGTATCAAATTGTTATAAGATGAATTTTCTAAAATCGAATAATGATACTTTTTTTTACTATTCTTAGCATTTTTCATTTCCATCTTTGGTTTGACCATTTTTCAATTTCAGTTCCATTTATTAGTCATTTGATTATGTTTCAAAATTATTTGAGCAAAAACACAAATAATTTAAAAAATGAAATATATTACCTCAAAATAAGATTGTCCAGAACCACAGATAAAGTCGATTTCCCCTTGAATATAACAATTTTTAAAGTAAGAACGTCCAAGTGATAAAAGCAATGTATCTTGATAACCAATAAAACTAGAATCAAATATGGCTGATTTATCACCATAAAAATTAGCTGCTACTGCTGGTGCATTAGGTCCAAATGTGTTCTACAAATCATACAAAAATACATTAAAAACAATTGAAAAATCATAAAATTTTGTTCGTTTAAAGACTTTTTACAGATTAATCACAGTTTAATCATATCAAAAACAAATAGAAATCTTATTAACTCGCATTTACCTCAAATTTAATGTTAGTCACAATCACATTAGGAGGACTTGAAATGAATGTAGAACTCATGGATGTGCCAACATGATGAGCTGAATCATCATAACTAATGGTCGTGCCTGTGCTACCTCTCCCTACTCCTTTTAAAACAATGCATGGCTTTTCCTTAGGTATATGAATTTTTTCCCTACACAATATTATAATGTGAAAATAATAATAATAATTTATAACATTTCAAACTTATTTGTATATATATTATATGAAAAAAATAAAATAAATAACTTACTTGTATATGCCACCACTTATATTAATCACAATCCATTTATCATTTTGATTCTTTATAGAATCAATGGCAGCTTGAATTGTTTTAAAATTTCCTTTACCTTGTTGGTCAACATAGATGGTGTTTGAAACCTGATTTCCACCACAATCCATGGCTCTACCAAGATATAAAAAACTAATAAACAATGCTAAATCAATCATCATTGATAAAATTAACCTCTTCATTTTTTTATGACATTGGTATCGTGATTTCAACTATAAATAATCTATAAAATATTTGTTTATTCAAATATAAAATCGTCATAATTAGTATGATATATGATAGGTTTCCAAATATATTTCAATAATGTGATTAATTAGTTTTTTTTTTATATTTTTACTAAATTAGTTTTATTAATATATATTTTTATATTTTTATTAAATTAATTTTATTAATGTGTTGAAAATAGTGTAGTGCATAGAATAATAATTAATGAATATAATTGAAAAAATAATAATTATTTTAAAATTGAAAAAAATAAAAATGAAATTCAAAATCGGGGAGAATGCAGTTTAATTATAATTTATTTAATCCATAAATATTTTTCCTTTGATACATCAAATCTTGTTTTAATTTAATAAGTTAATGTGATTATTAATCTTGTTTTATTTATTTTAATGAATGTATAAAGAAATTACTACATCTCATTGATTGGCATTTGTAATAATCCCTTAATTATATTTAGAAATTATAAATGATTTTCCGGTAAGAATCTCAAATAAAAATATATACTCATATTATTTTCTATGTCATTTTAGGAAGAAAAAAAATTTCATATAAATGTTATTAAATATCAATAAGGTACTAATTTCTATATTTAATACTTTTATTTTAAGAATGTAGTTATCATTTTTTTCTACTATACCATTCATTAATATTGTGTTTTCTTACAAACATGGTTATTTTTTTATGAGAACCATTAACTATATAAGAATGAGAATGACTTAACCATGAAATCTTGAGATATTATTATCTATAAAAGACTCTAAAAGAGATAAAATCTTATCTTGAGTTTGTTATTGTTATATAGTTATATTAAGTGAGGATTATCCTAAAGAATATGTATCTAATTGAAGAAACTTGAAAACCTATTTATAAATAATAACAGTTGTACATAATTTTTACATTTATTTTACTTTTAATAATAAGTCTCCTATGATGTTTAAAACAATTTTAATTTTGTAAGAGATTATACAAAGGATGAGACCAAAAAGACTCCTTTGAAGTTATGTCAATAAATTTAAAATTATAAAATATTATGGGACAAGAACATTTTAAAAACATTTTTAGTAATTTATTTAAAAAAGTTATTATCCTTTTTATCCAATATTCTTTTTTCCTTTTTTGTTATTGCACAGAAAAAATTATAAAAGAGATTTAAGAATATTTTAAAGATATTTTACTTTCATTAAAGTGTCAAAAATAAATAAACAATTAACACAAAAAGTAATATTGATCAAAAAGTTAAAAGGATTAAAAGACAACAAATGACAAAATAAATACTCAAATCAATGAAATGATAAAAGTTTTATTTCGGCTAACTTTACTAAAAATCTTTGAAATCCTTTATTTTAGAAATAAATAAGTTAATCAATACGAGATTAACTGGAAGTGATAAAAATAAGAATTTCAAAAATTAAAAATCTTCAAAAATAATATTTGAAACAGTAATATTTTCAACAACATTTTTAATAATAATTTACTTAAAAAAATTATTATCCTTTTGTATAAAATATTCTTCTTTCCTTTTTTTTGTTATTGAAAAAAAATTATAAAAGAGATTTGAGAATATTTCTGATATTTTTGTTTTAGTAAAGTGTAAAAAATAAATAAATAGATATCTATTTTGAAGTTGGCTATTTTGAAAATTATTTTTAGAATTTAGAAATTTTAAAACTTGGTAATATTGTAGATAATATATTCATAATAGAAAACATTATTTATAGAGGGTTGTATAATAAGAAAAAGCGATTGTAATTGATGTTATAGGTTTGAAATTTATTTTTATTTTTTATTTGTCGATTATGATGAACTGGATCTGAGTAATCGTTTTGTATTTATTTCTTTTTTTAAATTAATACAAGTTTGTTTATCAAAAAAATAAATAAACAAACAATTAATATAAAAATAAATGGGTTAAATAAGTTTTTGGTTACTCTAAATATAATGAATTTTGTTTTTAATACTTTTAAAAAAAACTTTAAAAAATGATCTGTCTAACATTTTTCTTTCAAACTTTTGATTTCTTTGATTAACTGTTGTTAATGGAAGCTGACGTATAATGTTATGTGAAATTTTTTTAATGATTAGAATACATGTGACAATGTCAAAGTGAAAAACGTGACAATTTTAATGCGACAAAAATTTAACGTAGATGTCATGTGACAATTGATTGTATTTTTTATTTTTTATATTTTTAAACTAGAATTTATAACTAATTCTTAATTAATTTTAATGCACAATTCTTATGACATAAACTTTATTCTTTATTTAGTCTTTTAACCCTTTATAACTGCTATCTTTTATGGCGGATTTCTTAATTGATATATTTCTCTCATTCTATTAGAAAAATGCACAAACACTTTTTTTAAGTTGCACTTTCTTTCTCACTATTATTTTGTATCTTTCTTGACCTAAGCAGCTATGTGGTGGTCTAATTATAAAATAATTTAGCTATAAACTTTTATGTAATATGAAAAAAAAATTGTTTAGATAGTATAAAAATGATTATTTAAATTAGTTAAGAATTAATTTGGATTTAACTATGAATTAGCCGTTAATTTTAAGTTTATAAATATAAAAAATAAAAAATAAAAGAAATTGTCGGCATTTTCACCACACTTACAACTATCACATTATCACATGTATGCTTAGTCATCACAAAATTTCATGTTGAGAGATATGAATGTAAAATATTATGAATACCATTCTTTATAATAAATTTTTAGAAAATTAAAAACAAAATTCGCTATATTTAGAGGACAAAAACTTATTTAATTCAAAATAAATTAAATAACATATCTAAAAGGCATTCTCATTTAAAAAGGATTAAGAAATAACAAATGACAAAAATAAGTTAAACAATGCCTATTTTTAGGAACAAATGAAATAAAAAATTTATTTTGGTTAACTTTGCTAAAATTCCTTAAAATCCTTCATCCTGATTATTCTTAATCAAATTGATATTTAAATTATTTTATTTTTAAAAAATTTAATTCAAATGCTAAAATATAAAAGCGGGTATTTATTTTATTATCTAAATATAAATTGGTATTTATAATAATAATAATGCGATTTAGTTATCGAATATGTAAATTTCATTATCTATACTTATATATAAAGGCAAAACATGATTTTGATGTAACTTTTTTATCTTTTAAATATAACATTTTTAATTTTTATTTTAAATCTTAACTTCTCTTTCTCACAAATGGTAATTATGCGACGGTTTATTAACTTTTATACTATTATCTATTACTATTATTTTATAAATAATAAATAATCAAATGAAACTTAAATAAAAATGATAATACGATTTATTTTTTACGCGCTTAAGTATTATAAAAAACGGACATACCTCTAGACGCTAGTGTATTATAATGAGAGTCAAATTTCTCTAATAACATTGTTAATTGTTTCAATTGTTTCAAGAGCATCTTTTTCTTTAAAAGTTACAAGATAATCATTTAGCCATTGATCACTCATTTTGTTACATATCTAACTCTTCACAAACTTTATAGCTGAAAAACATTTTCCACGCTTGGAGTTGCTACCAGTAAGACTAAAATCAACTTCAAAAGCTTATAAACCATATCAAATGTGTTGTACTTATTTGTTTCCACAAGTTTTACATAAAGATCTTAAAGTATTTTTAAATTGGCAAATTTTGGATCACATCGAACATTTCTAAGATAATTATGAAGCTAATGCTGCAACACCACTTTCGGCACATCTATAAAATCATTTGGATAAAGTTTTTCATACTATAAAGAGAAGAATAAAATTAATTGATTATAAATAAAACCATTTATGAGAAATTGAGAAATTTGATTTTTTTAATTGTTGTGAATAGAATGCCTTGAAACAAAATATAAACGGTTTCTTTATATTCAAGAAACACGCAAGAGTTACGGTTAATCAAAGAAAACGAGTAAGAAGAACAAGAAGAAACAACAAGGATTGGTTATAAAATGTTATTCTTTCCTTTATCTATTAAACAAGATTACAAATATACAAGAATAACAAATAACCCCTCTCTCTCTTGAATTAGGATTTTATCTTCCTATTTTTCCTTATACAAGATGAGAGACTAGCATGCTATTTATAAGAAAAAATAGCACACTAACCTAATGGGCTTTTTAACAATTACCCATTACAAGCTAACTTAGGGTACAAGCTAACTTAAAGAATTGGGCTTACAAGTAAGACCCAATTCAACATGCTAACAAACCTAACAATATTGACTAGTGCGTGTCACAACAAACTTTGACTACAACACGCATTACTCTGACAACATACTAAAGTTCGATCCGATATCTCACAAATCTCCACCTTGGATCTAACTCTATAACATCAAGAAACTAGATTTCTTCATGCAGCTTTATCAACTGCATACAGTGGAAAAACTTGCAATTGAGCAACGTCTTGGTGATCATATCAACAATATTATGATCTGTCGAAACCTTCGGCACTTGGACTTCTCCACGCTCGATTACCCCTCTGACGAAATGCAGCCTTACATAAATGTGGTTGGTTCGCTCATGATAGAGTGGATTCTTCGACAGGTGTATTGCACTTTGACTATCACATTTAACAGTGATAGCTCGACTTTGAAGTTTCAGCTCCTTAGCGAAACCTTCAAGCCACAATGCTTCCTTCACAACTTCAGTTAGGGAGATATATTTCGCTTCAGTGGTTGATAAGGCAACGACCTTCTGAAATGTAGTTTTCCAACTGATTGTTGTCCCAAACATAGTGAACACATATCCAGAAATAGATTTTCTAAAATCCATACAACCTGCATAATCAGAGTTAACATATCATTCAATTTCTGCTTTACTATCTTCACCCAAGGCTCTACCATAAATTAGGACTCTATTCAAAGACCCATTTATGTACCTTAGAATCCACTTCAATGCTTACCAGTGAGCCTTTCAAAGATTCGCCATGTACCTGCTTACAAGAC